AAATGTGCATCCTTTTTAAAGTTTTTTACTATTATTTTGCTATCCAGCCTGCATCTACTAATTGGATAAGCTTAAAAGTGACCAAGGATGGAAAATATGTGGAACCTATGGTACTTCAATTCCTGCCTCCTAAGCCTGAGGAAGATGTCACTTGTTGAATCTGGTACTCTTTATTTATTTTTTTTTTTTTTGAGAGATTTTCACTGTAGGGCACGTGCGCTCGCCAGACAGAGAGAGACATAGAGACAGAAAGCGAGAAATCACCCCCCAGGGGGGATGGTCACGCCGCAATCCCTTCTCCTCCATTCTCCTCTCGGAATCTTGGGCACGCACGCACACGCGCCCGGTGTGAGTTTTTTAAGCCACCAGATCCGGGACACGAACCGCGGTCGACTACGTGGGAGTCCAGCGACATAGCCATTACGCTAACTGCCGGTTCCCGGTACTCTTTATTTTTAAGCCTTGATTTTGTTCCAGAATTCTTAATAGTGTTCTCAGCAGTCTCTGTCTTTTAGCCTCTGTCATTTTGTCAGTCAGGCAAAAAGTAACACCAACTCAGCATCTCTGACTTAGAACTACATTTGGATACGACAGAAAAATGAAAAATTGGAATCTGGAAGAGAACTGAGACATCTGGGCCAATCCTTATTTAACAGACAATAAAACAGGCAGAGGAAGGTAAGGCAACTTGTCTAAGGTCAACTTTCGACTTAGTAGTAGAACTAGAATTTGCTGTGTTGCTTACCTCCTAACCCAGTGTTCCTGCTCATCTGTCTCTGAACTGCTTGTCTGAATTCAGCTACTTAGATTTCTTCTAGTCTAAAAATTATCTGGTTTCAGAGTATCTTCGCTGGGCTCCAGCTTGTCACACAGTCAACATTTGTCATACCTTTCACATCGAACTGGAGATGAGGGCCAGACTGGGCCATGAAAGCTAAATTTAAACTTGTTCCTAGCTTGCTGGGTCAGGACTTAACTACAATTTACCTTGGAGATGGCAGCAGAGAATTGGGGCTGAAGAGGCACTGCCTGAGCATGCAGCCTGCTTGCTATGTCTGCAAGGGACACACAGATCCCATGCTTGGCATATAACCTAGGGGAGCCAGTTGTTCTAGGGATTCCAGAAGATGAGATGTTGCTCGAGACTCCTAAGGGTATCTTGAATATGGGACAGGCTCTGGAATGATATGAACCAGTCTTTAAAACCTAGCATCAGGCCAGCAGGTGATGTGGTGGTTAAGGTGCTGGACTTCCACATGGCTGACTGTAGTTCAAGTCTCAGATCTGATCGCTTGATTTCTCACTTTCTTCCTTTCTCTCTGTTTCTCTGGTGAGTGTATGTGCCCTATAGCAAATTAAAATAATAATATTAAATAAAAATTAAATAACTCTTAATAAAAAAACCCAGCTTTACCACTTATTTGCTCAGTGACTTTGGGCAAATCATTTCTTTCAGCCTGAGTGTTCTCATCTGTAAAATGATCACACCTTATAGGTTTGTTGTAAGGATTAAATGAGATGATTTATTTAAAGTGCTTAGTATGAGATAGAAAATACTGATAATAACTAGCCAGTAATATTACAGACTATGGCACAATAGGGAACTCTAAGAATTGGTCTTTTGGGCCAGCCTCATGAATCAGTCAAGGAAGCTGCATACCGCATGGCTGGCTGATTCAAGTCCTAGCCCTAGGGCTTGGAAAACATGCTGGGCTTGTATGCTTACGTGCCCTAACTCTCAATTTGGTGAAGTGGAGAGAGGATTGTGGCATGATTGTTATCTTGCCTGAGGGTGTTTTCTCCCTCTCCCTTTTTTTCTCTCAGTCTCTGGTGAGCACATGTGCTCTCTGGCAAACAAGAACAACTGCAGCAGTAAAAATCATACTGGTTCCTTAACTGAAACAACAATTAAGCTGGCAAAAACTATCAGAATAAACCTTTCAAGATCCTGGAATCTAGTAAAGAATTTACAGCTACCCAAGGAATGTTTAATGAAGAAAGAGACTTAAATTTTGTTATTTAAGTAAATTTGTGAGGACACTGGCTGACTGCTAAGACAGCAGAAAAGGGACCTCAGTGATCATACACAAGAATGCAGTCTGCAAAAATAGTTTAGAAAAGTCACTGGACAAATGGATGGCTATGTACTTAATAAGCAACAACAGCAAACCCTGGGGGAGGACTTCCAGGGTTATCACATTATAATATTTAAAATATCTCATTTTCAACAACAACTTACAAGGCAGAGGTTAGCCAGAGGTGGTACTGCAGTAACACAATGCTGTGCAATGCTGAAAGCCACATGGGAAGGTCCTAGGTTCACATCTGAGGTCTCCTTGTATATTCTGGGTGCATGTATGTGTGGCCAGGATCTTGCTGGTTGAGACTGGGGGTGAATTGTGGTATGTGGACTCCATTGTGGTACTTGTATCCCTCTCTGTTTTTATAAACTAACAACAGAAAAGTGTGGTTCATTAAAAGGAAAAAAGAAATTTATGAAACCAACCCTAAGGAACCAGTCACTGAACTTGCTAAACAAAGACTTTAAGTCAGCTTCCTGAAATATGCTCAGAAAACTAAAGAAAATCGTGGAGAAAGAACTAAAGAAGGCCAGTAAGGTGGTGCAGTGATAACGCAATTTGCTGTGATGCTGAAGCCATATGGAACAGTCTCAGGTTTAGAGAGATCTCCTTGTATTTACATACCAGGCATACAAATACATGTGCATGCCCATTATCCTGGCTGGCTGAGTTGGGGGTAGGTTATGGCATGGGACTTTCTTGGCGATGTCTCTTTCTCGGAAAAGCTAGATAGGAAGACTTAAGGAAAGACTAAAGAAAGACAGAAGAATGATGTTTGACCAAACAGAATATCATTAAAGAGAAGAAACTATAAAAAGGAAACAGAAATTTTGGAACTGGGAAGTATAATAACTAAAATAGAAAATTTACTGGAGGATTCAACAGCAGATTTGAGTAGGCAGAAGAATCAGTGAATTGAAGACAGATCGATTAAAATTATACAGTCTGAGGAGCAGAAAGAAGAAAAAGTGAAGAAAAATGAACAGTCTCAGGGACCTGTGGGACATCATCAAGTGTACTAAATATATTTATAATAGGGCTAGGGTGGGGAGGAAAAGGAGCAAAAGATTATATAAAGAAATAGTGGCTTGGGATCAGCAGGTAGCATAGTGGTTAAGATGCTAAATTCCCACATGGCCTACCATGGTTCAAGTCCCATACCTGGAGTCTTGAAACTCATGCCAGGTTCATGTACGTCTATGCCCAAAATCCCAAGAGGAGAAGGGAGGAGAAGGGATTATGGCATAGCCATTCCCCTGGGGGTGATTTCTCACTTTCTTTGTCTCTCTGGCAAGTGCACATGCCCTATAACAAAAATCTCTCTTTAAAAAAAATATAATGCTTAAAACTTATCATATTTGATGAAAAACATGAATGTAAACACCTGAGAAACTAAGATATTCCCAATAGTGTAAAAAAGATGCACATTGAGACATAATGTAATTATTGAATAGTTATTACTACCACAGTTATTATTACACACTCAGTGAAACAGGACAAACATCCCACATCACTCAGCTAGTTAACACAGGGTTGACTCAGAGATTGTGGCTAAATGGGAAAGCCCAGTTTTGGGGAGTAGATCTGTGTTCTTGCCTTTTACAAATTTGAGGTCAGTTATATAACTTCTTGGAATATAAATTATCTTTAAAAATGCAGATAATCTGGCAACTTTGCGGATAATGCATTTTTGTGAGGATTTCACACATGGCACATGTGAATGAATCTAACAGTGTCAGCACACAGAAGATGTTCAAGAATTGATACATTTGAGCCAGCTCCATAGAGCAGCAGAAATGTGCTGCTCATAAAAAGCCAGGTCCCACATGGCAACCATCTTTGAAGCCCATGTGGTCAGCTTCACTTGCATGCTGTGTACATGCATGTAAATGCCCAAGATTCAATAGGAGGAATGAGACTGGTGTGACCAGATCCTGTGGAGGGTGCTCATCTCTCTCTAAAACACACACACACATGCATATGCACACATGCATGCATGTGTTTTATCATAAATAAAGATAAAAAAGTTTAAAAAAAGAATTGATACCTTTGTGAGGAATTCTTAGGATGGGGGTCTTTGGGGGAAGGGATTTTTGATTGGCTCAAGAGCCCAGAATAATATCTGGTATGTAGTAGCTGCTCAGAAAATATTTGTTGATAAATGAACCTAAAGCAGTTGAAGATAACCATTATCAAGATCAGAAAAGTGTTGTTTGTATAATTATATTGTAGTAAAAATCCCTTTTGCACTCTTTTTTTGGGGGGGGAGGGGAGAGGTTTTTGCTATAGGGCACGTGCATTCACCAGAAAGAGAGACAGAGACAGAAAGTGAGAAATCCCCCCCCAGGGGGGATGGCCCTGCTGCAATCCCTTCTCCATTCTCCTCTCGGGATCTTGGGCACGCCGGCACACCTTCCCGGTGTGAGTTTAAGCCACCGGGTCCGGGACTTGAACCGCAGTCGACTACATGGGAGTTCAGCAACATACCCATTACACTAACTGTTGGTCCCCCTTTTGCACTTTTGTAGAGGAAAGAATGTGGCAATCTTAACAAAAGTGGAAACTTACATAGTACAAAAATTAGGTTATTTATTGTGGTACTTTAGTAGTAATGAATAAGATAAATGCTGATTAAATGGGCATCTGTAGGCTTTTTCCCATTCCCTTATAATTGCTCAGCCTTTTGGGGGGACCACTTGGTCTTCCCTCAGGGCTAATATGGAATCTATCTAGGGAGCAGCAGCTCTGAAGAAGTTAAGAATTTCTTTTTTTTAAAAAAAGAATTATTTAATTTTATTCATTCATTCATTTACTTTTCATTTGACCAGAGAGAGAAACAGAAGAGAGCAAGAGAGGGAAAGTGAGAAAGCAAGCCACCAGGTCTAGGACTCGAACCATGGTCAGCCATGTGGGAGTGTCCAGCGCCTTAACTACCACGCCTTCAGTAGATGGATAATCTTGAATGGGAGAATAGTTGTTTAGCTCATATTACTGTCTTTTTTTGGACACTAGAAAGAAAAATCACCATCAAATTGTCTTAATAGAGGAACCTGCAATTACTTTATTTAGCCAAGCATATATAAATAAACAGACTAAATATTTGCATACGAGGCTTTGTTCAGTTACAAACAACAGGAAGTGACAATGAATAGTACTAAGGTGTTCTAAGGAAGAGAGGGAAGAATGAATAGAGTCTGAACTCTTAAAAGGTGCACATTTTTGGGATCAGAAAAGAGTGCTGGCAATCAGGAATTTAGCACAATTATTTTGAAAAAACTTTGTTGTTTATTATTACAGAAAATACCGTGTTTTCATTTGGTTTTACATTGTACCTTAAGTATTATAAATATTTTGCTGAATTCTTATTGGAAATTACTGTTAGAAGACAAGTGATCAGTTTGCACTTGAGAATGAAAATTGATTAATTTTACCCTTAGGTTTGGCCTTTGAAAACATTCACACATTCACCATTTCATTATTTTAAAAATATCTGTATAAAATAATAAAATTAGATAGCCTTCTCTATATTTTAAGTTAATCACTCATTAAAGACATAATTGAATTTAATATATTCATTATCTTGCTTGAAGTATAAATGCCTATATGGAATACTTTTTCTATCCTTGGCTGCTCAGACATGGTATAGTCTTATTCTTATGCCCTTCAAAACCTACTGATGTGGATAAAAGAATAAGCTGCCCATAGCCTCGGGGCTATTTCTCCTTTTTCCTCAGTTGATTCATATGAGTCACAGAAGTTCAGCATGACCTGAGTGGATTTGGTCAGAAATCTGAGATCATCTTGAAAACAAGGAAGGATTCTTACCACAGAACTCAGGGACACAGAGGAATAATTTGGCAGTGAACAGAAGTTAAGATTGGCTGTAGAACTGACTGTCAACATGTTAAGCTGAGAGGCAGAACTCAAAAAGTTATGCTCAGGCCCAGTGTAAGTATTAATGAAAAAGCATGGTTTGTGTCCTGAAAGATCTAGTTGAACATCTATGTGACCCAGGCCCACTGATGAGTGCCCCCAGATCTCCATTTTAGTTCATGGCAATGGCAGTAGAGTTGTACATTTGAGAACCTAAAGTCTTCAATCACATACATGTCCAAGTACCAGCTTGGACCTGAACATAGGAGGATGCAGTGGAGGTGGAACAATGGTTTCTCTTGTTGTCTTTTAGAAGAGGAGTTTGCAGGTGAGAAAAGCAATCAAGATGTGAATGGCATCTGTGATGGGGCTGCTGAAAACTCTGTTGGCCATGCTTCTGGTTGTGCTTAGGGTTGGCGTTTTGGTTGGGCTGGTGTTAGAAGTCTTAGGAGTCGAGGTAGCAGAAGTCTTGGGAGTCGAGGTAGCGGAAGTCTTAGGAATCGTGGTAGTGGAAGTCATGGAGGCTGTGGTTGTGACCATCCCTGGAATAAAAGTAACATCAACCTCTGTTGGGTGATAGGTAAGCACTAGAGAAAGGAAGTTAGTCTGACATATGGCCTGAACCAGAGTTCCTGAGCAAAATTCAGTAAACATTTCTCCAGGGCCAAGTGTGTGTTAAGTAGCAGAAATAAGTAAGAAACTCTCCTGAAGATCTGCATCATCCTATGAGAATGGAGAGACTTAAACAATTGCTGAATTTGATTGGAGTGGGTAGTATGCTCTTGAATGTCTTCATATCCTTAGTAGTGGATTAATCAGTGCAAATATAATAAGGGATGGCATAGCTTTATTTCCTTTTCACTAATTTCAAGGACTTACAAGAACTAGGTACCACCCAGACTAAGGAATGCCATTGCTGTTTTAGAACTAGTAGAAGGATGCCCTGTCCAAAACCTAGTTCTGTGGTTCTGAGACATTGATCATTTTTACATGTAGAATCTGACCAGACATTGATTCTGTGAGGTGATTTTGTGGAGAGGAAGAGAAAACCAGGCCTGTAGTCCTGGGAGGCTTGTCTGGTCCTGAGAAGTCTGCAGCTTGGCAGTGATACTGCCACAGATCTGAGTAGACCTCAGAGAGGACTACATAGAAGAGGAAGAAGGGACATGTCCAGTGACTAACTCAGGTGCACAAAGTCTTCTGCCTATCTAGAGGGTCCTTCCAGTTCTGTGGCATTGCTTATCTTACTTAACAAATATTTTTCTGACTGCCACTAGGCAAGAAAGTTAGAACACAACCACTTATATTTCTTTTCCTTTCTTTTTAATTGTTAGAGGGTACATGCATTTGCCAGAAAGAGAGAGAGATGGAAAGACAGACAGAGAAAATAAAAGCACTCCCTTGAGGTGTGGTCCCCTTGCAATTTCTTCTCTTCCATTTCACTATCCTGTTGGGGTTCAGACCATGCATGCACACATGTCTGGCATGTTTTTCAAGCCACTAAGTCCAGTAGTTGAACTTTGATGTACCTTGTAGGATCTGGCTCCCTTAACGACTAGGCTACCAGGCCAGCCCTCCCTGTTTTATTAACTTGGAGCTAAGAGGTCCTGACCAGAAATAACCCTCCCCCTTGACTTTTAAATCAGCTTTTACCTAGAAAAGGTCCTTGAGGAAGAAATGCTATCTCAGTCTTTTCATGGAGAGGAAGCCACCAAGGTAATAGTTAAGACTTTCATATAATAGTTTTGCTGTCGTTTGGATGTTCTCCCCAGAAATCCATGTGTTGGGACTTGGTTGTATTGTAAAAGTGTCACATGAAAACTTAATCCCTTCATGGTGTCCCAGGGTAAGGGTGTGACAAAGTCAATAGGATAAAGGGTGTGATAAAGTCAATAGGATGTGGGCCTCTGTGATTGAGTTCTGGTAAGTTTATAAGAAGGGAAAGGAGACCAGAACAGGCAAAAACTTATAGACAGCTGCTCTGCTCAATGTCCTGCCCTCTACCATGTTGTAGCCTCACCCAAAATGGGCTCCTAGACCCTGGACCTCTAAACTGAACTGAATAAACCTCTATTTTATTATAAATTCACCTAGTCTTAGAAATTTCTGAACAACACAGTGGCAGACTTAAGACAAATTTCATTAGGCACAAACACTCTAAAATTTATAGTTGAAAATAATCATCCCCTTTGAACATGTTGCAATGCATGACTGGCAGGAAAATTTACAGTATGCTAAATGTCCTTCAGTGTTTTGGGGACCTGTTACCTTGACACTGAGAAAGACTACTGTTTCTCATTCTTGGTTTAGTCTTATATTTTAAAACATCATCAAATTATTTTTACAGTTTTGGTGTAAGCCTAAGGAAAGGAGAAAAAGTTTAAGATGTGGAATTGAGTCCTCATTTCACCGTTTCTGTTCTGTGTAGCTTTAGGCAAGTTACCTGTATTTTCTGAACTTCTTTGAATTTAAGCTTGTTACAGGGAAATAAGAGAAAAGGAAGTGGGAAGAAGGTCAAGGAACCTCAGGAAGGTGTGAGGTTGGGTGCTATACCCCGAGAATGGCCAGTGAAGATTCCTGTGGTGATGGCAGCCGAAGACCACTCTCAGAACAAATGAAATTACTGATATTTCTATTATATCAACTCTTCTTTTTGCAACTCCCCATACCCTACCCCCATTCCCTTTAAAACTCTTTGGTTACAGTTTACTATACCCATGATGACTTTGTGTGAGTGGGAGTTCTTTGTGGAAGAAGATGCTAATTTTCATATCAGCATCTATGTGGCATTGAACAAAAATAGCTTCTGAGGAAGCAGGAGTTTGGAGTATCAGTGACTGACAATACAAGACCTCTGGGAATTTGCAGAAATCTTGGAGAGGACTTTTATTTCCCACAGGGCATGGGATAAAAGATTGAGCAAAACTTATTTAGGTCTCAGGGTGCCAGGAAATTCAGCCAGTATCTGGATAATTCATGTTAACAAGACCCTTTTTACTAGGACACCCACAAAGCAGTTTTCCAGCCTGGTACATTTCATGGCCAGATATGCAATGGACTACAGAGGAACTTACTTGCATTTTTGAGTTTCACAGAAGAAAATGTAGCTGTCTTGTTGAGGTAGACATTGAAGGCTCTGTGGAAGGCAAATCAGTTAGAGAAAATGGTGAGGATCTCTTCTGTGGAATTCACAAATTCAGTTTACACTGCTGCCTTCCTGAAGGATACCAACTTCTTAATTCCTTTTATGCTTACTTTTTCTATGGCACAATTAGCAGGTCATTAAATATTGATGTGTTCTATCTTGTCTGTCTTGACTAAGATCCTTCATGATCTTAGTCAGCCTCTAGGCAAACTCTCCCGTCTTCTGTCCCCACTAATTTCCCCACCATGAACTCCCCACATGTTGTACACATGTCTGGTCTTTCAAGCCAGTCCCTCTGCCTATAATACCTGTCCTGGTCATATCTGCCAGTAGATGGGGCCTCTGTGATTGAGTTCTGGTGAGTTTATAAGAAGGGAAAGGAGACCAGAACAGGCAAAAACTTATAGACAGCTGCTCTGCTCAATGTCCTGCCCTCTACCATGTTGTAGCCTCACCCAAAATGGGCTCCTAGACCCTGGACCTCTAAACTGAACTGAATAAACCTCCATTTTATTATAAATTCACCTTCTTTATGTTGTCATTTCTGTCTATTGTCATTAAACCCAGACTAACTCCATCACAGAGATATAACCCTCTACTGCACTTCTTGATGGTAGATTTTGTTGTCAACACTGACACATCACAGTGCTTAATATTTGTTAAATGATTTATACAGCTTGGTCTGCTGTTGTATCATTGGTCTATTATTATATTAGTCCCTTGTTCATACTTTCAAATAATTAATGAAAGGACACTACATGCCAATCACTTTACTTGGTGCTGAGAGGACAGTGGTGAACAAGATGGGCATGGTTCTTATCCTTTGGGCATTGTCTCTTCAGAGACACAGATTTTAAATAAATGATCAGCCAACTGGTTGAGTAATTGCTCATGGTTGTTATTTGTGCCCTGGCAAGGTAGAGGAAGTTAGAGAGTGCTGACTTGGCCTAGGAGTTTAGGGAATGTGAAGCAGTGGTATTTAACCTCAGTAAATATTCTTATATAGGCCTTCCCCTGCTGATTTCATTGTAAAGAGACATGGGCAGGGACCACTTATTCCTTTTGTGCCCTAACAAGAACAGTGTCCCCTACAGTGGTTTCCTGCTTTCTGTATATCCCATAAATATGTGAGGCTCCCCTCCTCTGGAGTCAGCCTTGCTGACCAAGGGCATGCATACACATTGTAAACAACCAGAGATCAGCATATCATGGCAGATGTGAGAGTTAGAACATGGTCTGGAGACCATGTTGTCAGTGAAACTATGCTGTTTTATTTTTTTCTTTTTTTTTTTCAGATTGTTACCCTTAGGTCTTTAATCTGTTTTTGCATGAAGTGTCAAGACTTTAACGGGCTGAGATGAAAGGAAAGTCCTTGAAGGACCAGCACATGGAATAACGGTTATGTCGCTGGACTCCCACGTAGTCTACCTTGGTTGGAGTCCTGGACTTAAAACTCATGCTGGGTGTATGTGTGTGTGTGCCCAAGATCCCAAGAGGAGAATGAAGGAGAAGGGATTGTGGTGTGGCCATCCCTCCTGTGCAGTGATTTCTTGATTTCTTTCTCTCTCTTTCTGTTTCTCTGGCAAGCATACACACCTTATAGGAAAAATCTCTCAAAAAAAAAAATGAAAAAAGGAAAGTCTTTTCCCTAATTAATCTTAATTGGCCTCTAAATAGCTGCTGCCATTGTTACTCTGGACTGCAGCAACTGCCTTTGAATTCTACTCTTGCATGCCACTCTGGGCATAATAGCCTCTTCTCCAAAGCCAGTTAGATTTGACCTATCTAAGCATGATGTCATCACGAGCTTCCACAGAGATGTGGCTGTTCACAGTGGACTCAGTCTGACGCCAAACCTGTCCTTTCAGTACAAAATGGCAGTCCAAGAGCATAAGTACCTCCCATCATTTGGGTCTTAAGGTAAACCTAATAACGAATCCCTATCTAGGTGGAAGATTTGTTGTTCAAGTGTAATGTGAGCCCTTGAGTGGCATCACCACAGTATTTGCATCTGTTGTGTGACAGTAGGAAGCTAATTTTATTACATAATCATCATATTACTATTAGCAAGCTATTCTGAAGATAGATCTATGTTTTAAAAAATTTTTAATTCTGAATGTAAAGAATTAGAAATAAAAAGAATACCTAGTTCAGGGACCAGCAGTTAGCATAATGGCTATGTCGCTGGACTCCCACGTAGTCGACCATGGTTCGCATCCCGGACCCAGTGGCTTTAAACTCACACCGGGCACGTGTGCGTGCGTGCCCAAGATCCTGAGAGGAGAATGGAAGAGAAGGGATTGCGGCGTGGCCATCCCCCCTGGGGGGGCGATTTCTCGCTTTCTGTCTCTCTGTCTCTCTCTGTCTGTCTGGCGAGTGCACGCGCCCTATAGTGAAAACCTCTCTTTAAAAAAAAAAAAAAAAGAATACCCAGTTCTTTATGTTGAGTGTAACTGTTGGGGGTGTGTGTGTGAACTCCTTCAGATGAAAGATGTGGCAGAATGGTGAGGCAGAAAAGAAATATAACTGCTGAATTTTCCATATCACATTTAGATTATATTTCAGTCCTCCAAGGTCAGTGGGAAAGTGTGTAAACCCAACATAAAACTTAAAAAACCCAAAACAAAGATTGGTTCTTACTGTAGCTCAACTTCAGTGATGTTCTTTACATTAAAGGCCTTCCAATTTGCCTCGAAGAATGTGTTGTGTAAATACTGCACGTGATATAGAAAGCTGCTATTGCACGTCATGTCTGCTCCTTGCCAGAAGCCCACTGAGTTGTTGTTCTTGTCCAGTGCTCGCAGGACCACAGAGCTGACGTTTGAAGTCACAGGAATCCTTACTGAGAGGAAAAATGATGAGAGATTAGTCAGCCAGCTGTGAGGTGAGCCCAAGGGTATAGGGTGTGAAAAAAAGAAATGATGATGAATATGTACAGATAATATCCTATTTTTTGTAAAAGAAGTTGAAGAAAGTCTGGAAGGAAATACAGCAAGATATTCACTGTAGTGATTTCTTGGTAGTGAGATTACAGGTGCTTTCTTTGTGTTTCTTAGTTTTCTACAGTGAAAAGTAGACAAAGTAAGACTTATTATTTTTTTTACTGTTTTTTCTACATACAGGGGTGAGATCTTAGGAGTGAATCTCTCTCTCTAGTGACAGTGCATGAATGTGGATGTGCAGAGGAGAAAAAAAGTGAAATAAGCCCCTTTCACAGACTCTCATTATGTCACAATGCATTTTCCCTGCCCTCCAGATCCTGGGTTGCCCACACATATAAGGCATGTTTCCAGGCTGACCAGGAGATCTGAACCCATGGTCTACCAAATGACTTCCAGCCTTAAAGGCACTTGTATTATCATCGTGCCACAATGGCTGGCCAAAGTGAATCCCGTAACCTGGGGCCAGGACTTCTTTTTCAGATGAGGCCTACTATGTCTTCTTTATGGGGCAGTGTGGGGATGGAAGGGATTTATGTATGTGGAAGGGTCAGGTGGGCTCCTGAGAAGCCCATGAATATAAGGGAATGTCATGCCAAGTAAAAGCAAAGCCTGGTTCCTGGTGCTGGAAACGCTGATTCTCTTGATTTCTGCTGCTCAGGGTATGGGAACGGGGAGGAATCTGAGCCACAAGAGTCATAATCCAAGTACCTGTCAAGTAATCCTCAGGGTTATTCACTCAGGCAAGCCCTCCCCTGTGGCCTAGCCTAGCATACACTCACAGTGGACCTCCTTGCCACTTGGTAATTCTATTCAATAGTTCAGCCTGCTGGCCTGTTAATGGTGTTGGGGAATTCAGTTCAGTCTCTCCATTTCCTCCCTTAGAAGGTACTTTCTCTGCAAATTCCTCTAAGCTAGCATGTTGTTCTCTTCAGGGCACTCTCAGCTACCCAAAATTCCTCCAACTATTGGATTGTCAGAAAAGTCATGATGCATGTTTACACAGAAAAACAGAAAAATACTTTCTTGTATTTTTTGTATTTTCATGACTTTTCTGATAACCCAATATTTCTTTAACAAAGCAGAGTTGATCATTTGACACAATAGAACCAATCAGTCCTGGATCTGAGTTCTGGCTCTGACATTTAGGAGCAAATAATTTAGACTCTGTGCCTAGGTCTCCTGGTCCATCATTTACTCCACAAATACTTTTAAAATATCCAATTTGCTCTAGGTCTGGGGGTAACGATATTATCTTTTATTATCTGAGATCGTGATCCTTATCTTGGAAGGGTCCTAGGAGGATTAAGGAGCAGAATATGAAGAGTTCAGTACTTGGTTAAATTGGGTAAATCGTAATTGTTCTTATTTATTATTTTTAGCACACTACATTTCTGTGTTACAGTTCTTTGTTTTGCTAATCAAGGTTGGCTGGTCCAGATCCCACAAACCTAGACTTGCTCAGTGAGCACCTGGCATTTGTCCTGTCTCTGTGCATAATGGTGGGTGGGAGATGAAAGTGATGGCATCATCTGGACAGTCATTGAGTGTGTCAGCTCTTCTAGAGGGATGGCTCTTGCCTCTGTCCTTTCTTCTGCTTTTCCCCTTTCACTCCAGTTGAAATTCTCTCTTTTCTCTTCTGGATACCTGTATTATTTGGATTTCTGGCCTCAGGTTCTTTCTTCAGGCTGACTTGTCAGACTCATACAATATGCCCATCAGGACACACTCCTGTCCAAAGCCTTCAGTGTCTTCTCTCTAGAGTATCTAAACATCCTGCTTATGTACTTCTACTCCTATTCTGTTGATGATCATTCCCAGCACATGGCTTTTAGGACCCTAGGATTTAGCCTCACTCTGCTGTTTGCATTCCCACTCTAGCAGCAGCCATGTATCCCTCTGCTCTGCAAATGTATCCTCGCCTTGCCCCCTGTGGCTGGCTGCCTTCTGGAATCCTTCCTTCCCATCATACACCCTCTCCCCACTTCCAACCCAAGATCTTATTTAGGTGCTACCTCTGGGTCAATTTAGCCTTCTTTTCTTCTCATTACTGAAATATTTACATTAAAGAAAAAAAATGTAGAGTTGAATATTTAATTATATTCTGGCATGCGTTATGCACTATGGTTTCATCTGTGCCAGTATCTGACCAGGTCACAGTTGGGCACGGTACTAAATAACTACTCAGTGACTAATTTACAAAGTCATGTATCCAATGTTGAATAGTGCCCTTTAAACTGGGAGTTCAGGAGGAAAGTCAGGCAAATTATGTCCTTGCCCATAGAAGTAAGAAATGGAGGCAGCTGCTTACCCAACAGTCTTAATGTTAATGTCACTGTATGAGACAGACCTAGGGAACCTGTTTGAAGATATTGCCTGAGCTGCAGTTGTTTCTTGGGACCTGCCATGCCATTTGCATGTAGTTTACCAATGTTGACCTCACCCTGAAATCTAGAATAATTTCAAAACCAAAATAAGGGGACCAGCAGTTAGTGTAATGGCTATGTCACTGGACTCCCATGTAGTCGGCTGTGGTTCGCATCCTGGACCCGGTGGCTTAAAACTCATGCCGGGTGCGTGTGTGTGCGTGCCCAAGCTCCCGAGAGGAGAATGGAGGAGAAGGGATTGTGGCATGGCCATCCCCCCTGGGGAGTGATTTCTCGCTTTTTGTCTCTCTGTCTCTCTCTGTCTGTCTGGCGAGCACACGCGCCCTATAGCATAAACCTCTCAAACAAACAAACAAACAAAAAAAGGAAATTAATTGGCCTGGGTGGGCATTTAAGAAGTCCTGAGTCCTGGTAATGACACTGTCCAAGGCTATCATGTTACTGCTGGGTCATCATAGATGTGGAATCTGACACTTCTATCTCTTTTCCCTAAGTCATTTCTGGAGTGAGTCAGTTCACCACATAGCCCAGGCATGTTTCTGTTCTGAGATGGAATCTGATAAAGCTTAGGGAAGAGCTGGTGGCATTTGTCGACCTTTAAGGGACCTTCACTCTCTCCTCCGTCTCCTGGCTTTGCCAACAGCCTCTTTAACTGCTGTAACTGCCTTTTTTCCCAAGTGGATGTCCTGGTTCATCCTTCTCTTGCCTTCCTCCTTTCAGCAGGCACCCATAACTCCCCTTCACAGCATCCTCACATAATAGATCTCTTGGTTTTCCATTTCAATAGCAAACCCTTCACCTTGTTCAGTTGTTAAGTGCTACACTCTCTTCCTTCAGGGCCTGTGCCTCTTTTGCAATAGGGCCTCTGACCCTATAAGGACTTTCCCTTGGTCACATAAGACTACCTGGTGTTCATCCTGAATTGCAAGACTATCCTCCCTGCCCTAGAAAGACAAGTTTCACTGCCTGGGAGAATGACCTAGTTAACCCCATCACAACTGAAGCACTTCGTGGCAGTTCCTATGAAAAAATAGGAAAAAAGACAAGCTAGGATGAGTGTATGAAGGCACTTCATGGTTCTTCACCTGCCGAAGTCTGGAATCTGTGGACCACAAGTGTGGATAGCATCCTGGTGGTCTCTGAAATCTGCTTAGACTTTTTTTTTTATTAATTAATTTTTTTGAGAGGTTTTTCTAATAGGGCGTGTGCACTCTCCAGACAGACAGAGAGAGACAGAGAGACAGAAAGTGAGAAATCACCCCCCGAGGGGATGGCCATGGCGCAATCCCTTCTCATCCATTCTCCTCTCAGGATCCTGGGCATGCATGCACATGTGCCTGGTGTGAGTTTAAGCCACCAGTCTGTGACTCGAACCATGGTAGACTACATGGGAGTCCAGCGACATAGCCATTACGCTAACTGCTGGTCCCAAATCTGCTTAGACTTTTATGAGAGGCTGGATGACATAATAGATAAGAAGACAGGTTCCTGTACTGCACTAGATAAATCTTAGCTGCATGATTTATTAACTGTATTTCTTCCTAGTGACTTTGGGTAAAATTTTAACATCTATGCGCCTCATTTCTTGTCTGTAAAATTAGGAAGATAACATTTACCTCTAAAACATACCTAGCTCACAGGGAGAAGTGTCACCTCTCATTATTCTAATTGAGAGATGTGCACTGGTTCAGGGCAGTCTCTAAAGCCAGAATGTTTGTTCATGTCCTGGCTCCACAATTTAAGTAGCTCTGTGACCTGAGGATGACACTTAGCATCTCTGCCTCTGTTTTCTCTTCAACACAACAATGATATCTATTTACCTAATTAGTCATTATGAGGACTGAATGCATTAATACATTGTAAATCACCATGGTAAATGTTGGCATTGCTATTATAAAACAATTAGAAAGCATACTTTGGACTCAGATGTTTGGCTGATCCAAAAAGGGAATTTATAATATATTTACTAAATACTTCTAAGAAAAGTATTGGGTTAAGAATGAAATGACGAAGATTCAAGAGCCAGTTCTGCCACTAAGAGTGAGACTCTGAGCAAGTCATTCAGCTTCTCTAAGCTTCAGGCTCCTCATTTAGAAGGTGGATTTCAATCACTAGATTTTTTCACCCACAGACCAAATACCAATAGTATCTCCTGGAGTTTTATAGTATATAATTCATAGTAGCACTGCTTTTGTCAAATGTATGTAAAAAGATAATATACTGTCATGCAATTTTTATCCCTTTAGATAATAAAAGGGCCCTTTTTATTTGACTCAGAGAATTTGCTCTAGGTGTGCTGTTGCAGAGACTCAGTTAATCTGAGTGTTGGGACTTTACGCCTCTTGTGGCTGAGGTCCACTCAGGAACATGCAGGCAGAAAAGTACCCCCAGTCTACTCTTACATATTCTCATTCTTTCCCTTTTTCTCCTTACTTCCCACCTGGTTCCAAAACACCTTTTTTTTTTTTTTTTTTTTTTTTTTTTTTTTTTTTTTTTTTTTTTTTTTTTTTTTTTTTTTCCCCTTATAACTGAGAGCAGGAATAAAGGGAAATGTCCTGAAATTCTAGTTAACTCCTTTCAGAGGACAAAGGACAGTAGAGAGAACAACTTCTACTCACCTAAGTAGACTGTGTTGTTTTCAAAGACATCAGAATTAACCTTGATTCCTGGGCTGGTGGTGGTGGAAACCTCATCAAAGATCATGCAGGGGTCTCTGTGATTTGGAGGGCTGGCAGAAGAAAACGGCAGTATCAGGTATAAAAACAGACCCAGGGGCAGTAGCATAGAACCGAAGCCTGCCATGGTCTTGATCTGCTTGGAAATTACTGGGCCTGGAACTGGTTTTGAGTCTGACTACTCACCTCCACCTCCTGTTTATATGGAGCTTGTGGATGAGGTCATACATGCAAATATTCTACTTGCTCCTCCTGAAAATACTGTTCACTATCTTTTAGAATTTGTCCAAAGATTATCACTACGAATGAAGGACTAGTCACCAGTTGTCTGTCACCCAAGGTCCTTTACTAAGTCCAGTTTTGCTCAAGAAGAGGAATGTACTGATTATGGGTTTATTTTGCATCTCACTCGTCTCAGCATCTGCTATTTTAAGAAAGCTGTTGAGAAGGGGTAGATAGCAGCAAAGTGAAATTAAAAGTTGAGTAATCACATAGCATCCATTTAAAAACTCTGCTCTCTGCCTACAGGAAACTCGGGCAAAACAGCCCCTTTTTTCTGGAATAGTATATATCCTCTTCCAATCCTTCATTGAGTAGGTATACAATCCCTACGTCATTTCATGACTAACATAAAAATAGATAGGATAGTGCTTCTGGATATATACTTTGGAAAGAAACAGTTTAGGTCCAACTTGCTCCTGATATTTTCTTCTGTAGCACCACAGTACAAGGAAACTACTAAAAACAAAAAAAAAAAATTAGAACATAAAATTTATTTTTAATGTTTTTTCTGTGAATTTTATGATTTACTCACTAAAGGAGAAAAGAAGAAAGAAACATTTTACTTTGTTGAGTAGAAATAAGACCAAAATAAAAAGTAGACTTCAATCAGGTTAATATTTATGTGTTCCTTCAGGAGAAGCACTTACAGAATGGTGGAGTAAGGACCTCTGGAAAAACCACTTCTCCACAAAAGCAATGAGAACACTAGCAAAAAATGGTCAAAATCAACTTTTTCAGAGCTCTGAAAATTAACCAAAGGCTTATAATAATCTTGAAGCACTTAAGAAGAGTAGTTAAATATCAATCAGAACAGTGAATACTGTGGTATTTTAACTTGCTCTTGTTCCAACCCCTTCATCCTACCTCCATGGTAGCCTTGAGAACTGACCAACTTATGGTAGTTATGAACACCAGCAAACTGGCAGTCAATAGTGGGGAACAGAATAGGTTTGGAGCATCCCAAAAAGCCTTATTCCCAGAGAATTGTCACTATGTAATGTATTGGAGGTTGCCAACAGATTGTCTTTGTCTAGTAAGACAGACAACTCAGATTTATAAATACATTCAAAGAACTAGACGAAACCATGCCTAAAGAAGTAAAGTATGTGAGTAATGTCTCACCAAGTAAAGAATAGCATAAAGAGCTAGAAATGAGAAAAAGAACCAAATAGAAATTTTGTAGTTGAAGCCACCAGGTCTGTGTCTCAAACCTCAGTCACCCATGTGGGAGTGTCCAGCACCTTAACCATCACACCACCTACTAAAAAAAAAAAAAAGAAATTTTGCAGTTGAAAGGTAGACAGACTTAAGAACAAATTAGAACTAGTGGAAGAAAGTATAGGCAAACTTAAAGATAGTTCAATTGAAGTAATATTTTTCTTTACTCATGTAGAGTGTGTATATACAGTGTTTTCTTTACTCATGATAGAGTGTGTATATAGAGTGTTTTCTTTATTCATGATAGAGTGTGTATATACAGTGTGTATTTTCAGAGCTTTGTCTTTCTTTGATCTGACTAAGAACTTTGTGTTAACAGCCTTATTGCTAAGGTGTTTGTCAAAAACAATCAGTGGGAATTTAAAAAAATATTGTGGGTTTCTGAGCAGTGATTTCAATTAAGAATAACAGGAGGCTAAATAAAAAAAAAAAAGAAAAAATTGGAAATGTTCACAGGAGGCTTTGAGAAGCTCAGACAAATTCTTGGGAATCTAGAAGGCCATGTGCATATGCAGGACTATCGTTATGCACAAGAAAGACCTGGGAAAGCCCGAATCTCTTACTGTGAGACTCTGTACAACTGGAAAGTGAATACTAAGGCAGAGTTGTAAACTGCCTATCTGATCAGTGAAGGCATGCTCCAAAAGAGACACATAAAAGTACTTTACAAAAGATGGGAGGCTTAGGGAACCAGCAGTTAGCGTAATGGCTATGTTGCTGGACTCCCACGTAGTCGACCGCGGTTCGTGTCCTGGACCCGGTGGCTTAAAACTCACGCCGGGCACGTGTGCGTACGTGCCCAAGATCCCGAGAGGAGAATGGAGGAGAAGGGATTGCGGCGTGACCATCCCCCCTGGTGGGTGATTTCTCGCTTTCTGTCTCTATGTCTCTCTCTGTCTGTCTGGCGAGCGCACGCGCTCTATAGCGAAAAGGAAACTCGGGCAAAACAGCCCCTTTTTTCTGGAATAGTATATATCCTCTTCCAATCCTTCATTGAGTAGGTATACAATCCCTACGTCATTTCATGACTAACATAAAAATAGATAGGATAGTGCTTCTGGATATATACTTTGGAAAGAAACAGTTTAGGTCCAACTTGCTCCTGATATTTTCTTCTGTAGCACCACAGTACAAGGAAACTACTAAAAACAAAAAAAAAAAAATTAGAACATAAAATTTTTTTAATGTTTTTTCTGTGAATTTTATGATTTACTCACTAAAGGAGAAAAGAAGAAAGAAACATTTTACTTTGTTGAGTAGAAATAAGACCAAAATAAAAAGTAGACTTCAATCAGGTTAATATTTATGTGTTCCTTCAGGAGAAGCACTTACAGAATGGTGGAGTAAGGACCTCTGGAAAAACCACTTCTCCACAAAAGCAATGAGAACACTAGCAAAAAATGGTCAAAATCAACTTTTTCAGAGCTCTGAAAATTAACCAAAGGCTTATAATAATCTTGAAGCACTTAAGAAGAGTAGTTAAATATCAATCAGAACAGTGAATACTGTGGTATTTTAACTTGCTCTTGTTCCAACCCCTTCATCCTACCTCCATGGTAGCCTTGAGAACTGACCAACTTATGGTAGTTATGAACACCAGCAAACTGGCAGTCAATAGTGGGGAACAGAATAGGTTTGGAGCATCCCAAAAAGCCTTATTCCCAGAGAATTGTCACTATGTAATGTATTGGAGGTTGCCAACAGATTGTCTTTGTCTAGTAAGACAGACAACTCAGATTTATAAATACATTCAAAGAACTAGACGAAACCATGCCTAAAGAAGTAAAGTATGTGAGTAATGTCTCACCAAGTAAAGAATAGCATAAAGAGCTAGAAATGAGAAAAAGAACCAAATAGAAATTTTGTAGTTGAAGCCACCAGGTCTGTGTCTCAAACCTCAGTCACCCATGTGGGAGTGTCCAGCACCTTAACCATCACACCACCTACTAAAAAAAAAAAAAAGAAATTTTGCAGTTGAAAGGTAGACAGACTTAAGAACAAATTAGAACTAGTGGAAGAAAGTATAGGCAAACTTAAAGATAGTTCAATTGAAGTAATATTTTTCTTTACTCATGTAGAGTGTGTATATACAGTGTTTTCTTTACTCATGATAGAGTGTGTATATAGAGTGTTTTCTTTATTCATGATAGAGTGTGTATATACAGTGTGTATTTTCAGAGCTTTGTCTTTCTTTGATCTGACTAAGAACTTTGTGTTAACAGCCTTATTGCTAAGGTGTTTGTCAAAAACAATCAGTGGGAATTTAAAAAAATATTGTGGGTTTCTGAGCAGTGATTTCAATTAAGAATAACAGGAGGCTAAATAAAAAAAAAAAAGAAAAAATTGGAAATGTTCACAGGAGGCTTTGAGAAGCTCAGACAAATTCTTGGGAATCTAGAAGGCCATGTGCATATGCAGGACTATCGTTATGCACAAGAAAGACCTGGGAAAGCCCGAATCTCTTACTGTGAGACTCTGTACAACTGGAAAGTGAATACTAAGGCAGAGTTGTAAACTGCCTATCTGATCAGTGAAGGCATGCTCCAAAAGAGACACATAAAAGTACTTTACAAAAGATGGGAGGCTTAGGGAACCAGCAGTTAGCGTAATGGCTATGTTGCTGGCCTCCCACGTAGTCGACCGCGGTTCGTGTCCTGGACCCGGTGGCTTAAAACTCCCGCCGGGAACGTGTGCGTACGTGCCCAAGATCCCGAGAGGAGAATGGAGGAGAAGGGATTGCGGCGTGACCATCCCCCCTGGTGGGTGATTTCTCGCTTTCTGTCTCTATGTCTCTCTCTGTCTGTCTGGCGCGCGCACGCGCTCTATAGCGAAAAAAAAAAAAAACCCCTCCAAAAAAAAAAAAAAAAGATGGGAGGCTTAGGGAACCAGCAGTTAGCGTAATGGCTATGTTGCTGGCCTCCCACGTAGTCGACCGCGGTTCGTGTCCTGGACCCGGTGGCTTAAAACTCCCGCCGGGAACGTGTGCGTACGTGCCCAAGATCCCGAGAGGAGAATGGAGGAGAAGGGATTGCGGCGTGACCATCCCCCCTGGTGGGTGATTTCTCGCTTTCTGTCTCTATGTCTCTCTCTGTCTGTCTGGCGCGCGCACGCGCTCTATAGCGAAAAAAAAAAAAAACCCCTCCAAAAAAAAAAAAAAAAGATGGGAGGCTTAGGGAACCAGCAGTTAGCGTAATGGCTATGTTGCTGGCCTCCCACGTAGTCGACCGCGGTTCGTGTCCTGGACCCGGTGGCTTAAAACTCCCGCCGGGAACGTGTGCGTACGTGCCCAAGATCCCGAGAGGAGAATGGAGGAGAAGGGATTGCGGCGTGACCATCCCCCCTGGTGGGTGATTTCTCGCTTTCTGTCTCTATGTCTCTCTCTGTCTGTCTGGCGCGCGCACGCGCTCTATAGCGAAAAAAAAAAAAAACCCCTCCAAAAAAAAAAAAAAAAGATGGGAGGCTTAGGGAACCAGCAGTTAGCGTAATGGCTATGTTGCTGGCCTCCCACGTAGTCGACCGCGGTTCGTGTCCTGGACCCGGTGGCTTAAAACTCCCGCCGGGAACGTGTGCGTACGTGCCCAAGATCCCGAGAGGAGAATGGAGGAGAAGGGATTGCGGCGTGACCATCCCCCCTGGTGGGTGATTTCTCGCTTTCTGTCTCTATGTCTCTCTCTGTCTGTCTGGCGCGCGCACGCGCTCTATAGCGAAAAAAAAAAAAAACCCCTCCAAAAAAAAAAAAAAAAACCTTCCCAAAAAAAAAAAAAAAAACCTTCCCAAAAAAAAAAAAAAAAAAGATGGGAGGCTTACTGGTTTAAGGCATTAAAAAAAAATCTCTATTTACTATTGGCTATTAAGTTCATTAAGGAAAGACTTCACTGGTCACACATAATAAAGAATACAGGCTTTA